AATAAAGTTTATTAAGTTAATTTATTAATTTTTAAATATAACAATAACATGTTCTCTCGATCAAAAAATAATTTTTGAAGTTGTGTTCGTCAAGACATAAATGTGGAACAAAAAAAAATATATTCAGAAGTCAGTAATCCCTACAATTTTGAAATAACTATTATGTCTGATCCCAATTCTTTTTTAGCATAAATTATGATATAATTTATAATTCTTCCATTTAATAAGCTAGAAGGTTTGGTTCATTATAGAGAGATGAATACTCTTAAAGTTCTTCTAAGCTCTAGTTATTCAAGGTAAATAACCTTAGCAGCTGTATGTCCTATGTAATCACACTTGACAAGCTTATAGGTAATGATGGTTAGTTAGTAATGGAATAGGTATGTCCCATAATAATTACAGTGGTCGATATACTCGATAGATTAATCCTAATCAGTATTACTAGTCTGATACTGGTGTTCAAGTACTTTTCTTCATAGACAATGCTAATACATATAATACTTGCATACGGCCATAAAGTATACATATTTAGAAGACTTAGATAAATGAAAGAACACTTATCAATATCTAGAATGCAAATTTCTAAGTCGTTAGATAATATTGGATAGGAATTGCGCTCCGTTACCAAGTCATATTTTTCCATAATTTATAACGCGAGGTTGAGATGATTTTGCATATTGATAAAATGCATATAGCGTTTTATCGATATTTATATCATCGGTATCTTGTGTCGTATAGGGCGTAACCACCATTTTCTCAAAATTGAATGCTTTCTTATTCAGTTATTTCAGCGCCATCAAACGGTATAAAAGACATACATGTTGCTTATGATGTGTTACTTTAAAATTATAATTATTTCTTAAAACGTTGTATTTCAATATTATGCACTATAAAAATTAACGATTTATAGAATACTTAAAGAATCAATAACAACAAAGTTGTGACTAATAGAAAATTTACTTTTAGTTTTTTTACTCTCCTGAAAAGTTATGTTTTGGTGATTATGCTCTTTGAGTCACAAAGTATCGTTTTGAAGCGGAAAGAATTGATTGTTTGTTGGTTTGTACACATTTAACAGGCTGCGAAATTAGTGGAATGATTTCAAAACTTCTTTCACTTACGCGACTATATATTAAGTTATTTTAGCCCATATCACTCGAATATGATGCGAGTTATCGAGCTATATGCTCTTATATCGAGATATATACTCTTTAATCTATTAAAAAAAGAAACATATAAAATGATAAGACATTGTGTGACATACCAAATTCAAATTTTTCTCCTTTTCATTTAAGTTCATTCGCATTAAAATTTTAATTGCTAGAGTCGTTGCCAGATTAACGAATGAGTATTTTTTTTAGGATTTTTCTACAATACTTGTATTTGCTTTCCTACACCGAGGTCACCGATTACATAAGTATAGAAAATTTCAACTAGGCGGTCCAACAAATTTTATGTGATGGACTGAAATATAAATAGACAGATTTGCAAGTGATTCTATAAGTTTTCCTTTTGAAGTACAAAAGTTTAAACATACAGTGAAACTAGGGTATATTTTGAGTTAATTTATACAAGCGTCAACTTGCAAATTCAAATATTAATATTTCATGTAGGACCTAGTGAAGCCTAGTGACTTTCGTTGAAGCAAAGGCAGTTTTTTGTCACAGAAAAAAATAGAACATAACATTCTGAGTTAAGGGTTAAAGGTGCGAATGTGCGTGATGGTTCATGTGATATTTCTTCATCGAATTTGACGTTTCGATGCGCTTCATCTCTACGCTAGCGAGTCTTGACTTTTTGCGTAATATTGGCATAACACATGACTATTACTCATTCATTTTGTAAGCGGAAGTGACAAATAACAAACTCTTATAAACCTCTAGGGAGTGTAATAAATGATATTTTAATAACAAAGAGTATAGATACCCGCACCTCTATCATATAGGGTGCATTGTAAATAACCGGCTTAATTCCTGTTCTAGCAAACGTAGAAGCGTGCTTGAAATGATGTGCTACGGTATTTGAATTGAAGCCACTCGGAAATCCTACTGAGCCAGTAAGAGCCAGAAATAGATAAACATACAAACTTTATATATATATATATATATTATTTTTTTTTTTAAATATTCCACCTTTTAATAAAAAATAAGTTGACTGAGTTATATTAGAAATTATATACATATATATTACCCTTGATTCAGTAGGAAGTGGTACAGATTAAAAAACTGGATTAAATGAATAGTTATTTAAGCCTAGCTCATAATTTTTTCTTTTACTAGAGACTAGAAACGAATAGTCTAAAAGCAGCCACCACTGGCAGCAATGCATTCTCAGTTTCAGTACATTGATTTCAATTTATTTTTCGTTCGTGACCGGCGCCGGTGTAGATTATCTGTGAAACGAGAAGTATAGCTTAAATCCGTGGGCGGCGCCCGATTGTACGTTATCGCCACATCTGTGGATGTCCATTGCAAATTGTTTATTGGCTACCTTGTTTGTCATTATTCCGAACTGATATAGTTGTATTTTAGCTTTCCTTACTTGGTTATATTTATCTTATAGCTAATCAAATCGTTTGTAAAGGCATGTTATGTAAAGGCACCATTTTAAACTGAGATTAATCATATGATATTTTGAATGGTGGGAGGTATGTACGTGATAACTGTCCTAGTTATGTGAATGTAAAATCAATCAGATTTTGAAATATTCTTGTTAGTAAAGTGCCCATATTTTTATTATTTATAAGCTAAGGTGGATATTTTAGCTTGCAATTTGTAAACCGTTTATGTTAATTTGAGAAGTTCGTATTTCTTACTCGTTTATTATGAAATTGCTAATTCAATATGCTATGTATGAAATACATATTCTAACTCCAAATGGATTGAATCTGCAAAAACAATAAAATCCGCTGTGTTAGTAGAAGTTGTATGTCATGACAAAAGAGCTTAAAGCTAAAGCTATATATTCCCATCAGTCGTTGAATGTTAAATAAACTACGTTTAAGGTCGATTTTTGTTCGCATAGAAATAAAAATATGATAAAAAACCAGTAAACCATGTCAAAGCTCAAATCACTTTCACTGGCAGTGTGTTAGTGCTTCATAAATCTTTATGAAATATCAGTAAATAAAGTCAACATCAGAGTTAGTGTTTTTTAATACTTTTTGTTTCGATATCTTGTTGGTTTTTCATTGTTTTTTTATATACTTTATTATATTATACGAAAAAAATCACAAGAAATATAAATTTAAAGGTATTATTGAAAATGTGATAAATAAAAAGAAGGTAATTATATTTGAGCATGTTGTTTCTTATTTTTGGTTAGCTCTTTTAAGATTTATCCTGCTCCTTCTAGATAGTTATAAATACCTATTTCAACTTATTGTCTTGTTTAAAAGTTGAGTATCTTATTTTTTAAGATGTATTGATAAAATCATATTCGTAATTCATATAAATAAAAATGTTACAAGCATGTAAGCGCTATTTTTAACAGTATTAAATATTCAATTACTAATGCTTTCGCTCACAAAAACGTAACAATCGCTCTTTAGCATTAATATTCATGTTGTTTCTTTATTATCAGACCCGTTTTTGTGTTTAGTGCCGTTTTTATATGACTACAGTTCCCAGGGTATGTGTGCAATGGCGATATTTAGTTACAATAGGTCGTCTCCATAATTTCTCATATGTTCTTGCTTATTATAATGAGAATGACCTGAATGTAAACAAGGGTACGCAGCTGGCTCTTCATTATTTTTCTTACTAATTACCGTTATAGATATTTGTCATTTTTGTGGCTCCGCATGGTCTTGAATTAAGTAAACGTCATACTTTCCTCTTGTATTACTCTATATTCGGTGAAAACTGCATGGAACTCCGTTATATAATTTAAAGTTCTCAGCGTACTTTGTTTTATACTAAGTATAAATAAATGAAGCGTTTAAAATTTGGATTAGAAAAATCAAAATGTTTAAATTAATGGTTAAAATGTCTGTATTTATGTGAATAGTAAATTTTATACGGAATGAGGGTTGTAGGTTTTCACTGAGTTGTTGTTTTTTTAATTCCAATATTTTCATTTTGATGAAAAAGAGGTTGTGAAACGTTTTAAAATAATCGTCGTTAGTGTTGATAAGTGCTGTTGATGTAATCGAGTATGATGTACTTTTTTTAAGTCTCTAAATTAAATTAAACTATATTATAAGAATATGTCTAATTTTTATTTGTTTTTTTTTCACGTTATTCCATTTTGTTAATATAAGATAAATTAACGTACGAATTCACACACACACACAAGTACAGTCTTGTTTGTGCAACAGATTTGCTGTGCGTGTTTAAAACTGAAAAAAGGATTAAATATCAGTTTCATTTAATACCAAAATTTTCGTTCTTTATATTGACGTAACTAAAACTATTTAAGAGGACAATCTTGACTATTGACCTGGTGTTATAACGAGTATTTTTGATATGTTATTTTTTTATTTTTATTACCAGATTAAAAATAAAACTGCGACTAAGAAATCTTTTGCATATCGAAGGAGCTTGATCCTATCGGGTGTTGTGTAAGAACAACAATTTGTATGCTAAACAATCATTGTTAGTTACCTATACAGAAAAAGTTTATTGCCAATTCAGTGATTATACATTCAGATGGACGTATAATGTAATCAGTTTTGATGGCTCAAAAGATATATCGTCCATTTACAATTTATAAGATTCTATCATTATTTTTTTACAATAAAAAACGGCCATTGACTTTATGTGAATATTATTTTATATTATCCATTGTTATGATGTTTTTGTGTATGAAAATATAAAAATAAAAAATTTGAAATTGGACTAAAGTTGTAATTCAATGACGACTTAATTCCAAACCTCATCGACCTGAACTCGTATCCAACTCATGATATAAATGTGTAGCTTATTACGCGGGCTTAATGGAAATATTAAATAAATATTTTATTAGTCCATCACTGAAAAGAAAAATAAGTAAATACTAACGATGTATGGTATGTCTGGAAAAGCCGGTAGTCGGTCACATGCAACCGGCGATGGCCGGTCCATCTCCGCCTGTTTCCCTTCAGAATAAGCCACGATAGTCCTCATGGTGGACAGTGTAGTACTTCTTCGACGCTCGCTCCATCTCACCCCCGAATTCCACTCGTTGACCGAAGCTATCCAACTCACGCAGAATAAAGTCACACCCGCTAGCACGAATTTCGTCGCACGCACGTACTTCCACGGCATTTTATCTACAGTGGCATGTCTATATAGAAATAAGTAAATGTCAATTGGTATTAGAAGCGCGCCGACGTCCGTTGTTAGGACCGTGGGCGTTCGCTGCGCGCATGCGCTCACCGCGCGATACCATGGCGGACTGCGCCGGATCAGCTGATAGCATATCAACAATGCTTCCCTTGCGGCTAATCGTTCTAATGCTCTGTGGAAATCTAGTTTTCTGTATAAGCTTTTGCACAGGCTTCTTTACAGTAAGAGCGACTCGTTTTCTATAAAAAGCTTCACTTGATGTTCAAGTTGCTGTCCACGGATCAAGAAATTTTATAGAAAAAAATCGATTACTCGCTTTTCCGGTTATTCATAATTGTTGCGTAAGAACGATTATATGTCACGTTTCTAATTGCAGGATATAAGTTAAGCATAAGGGTAAAATACTGTAGTAAAGGATCAGTCAGTATAGTCTAGTATATAACGTACTGTGTTGTAAGTTCAGCTTTATTGGCGAATAACTTTTTCACTAAACATGGTGAAAAACTGAACTGGCCAACTTTGTGTCGTTTTTGAATTATTAAATTAATAATGAATGTAGTTTGAATCATTTATAGATAAATTTTGTGAATTTGCTTTCATGCTCACACAATTATAAGACTCATTGTCTCAATTGCTTTTGGTCATTCCCTAAGGTGACACACAATATATTTGTGTGTCACCTTAGGGAATGACCAAAAGTTGAAGTTAATATACATAGATACATATATATTCTCTAAAATCTTGTCCGTTGTCAGTTAATATACATAGATACATATATATTCTCTAAAATCATTTTCTCTATACAACGATTATTGGATTATTAAATTATGACAGGTGTGTGTATCCATGGAATATATAACCAATTTGATTAAATTAAATTAAATTTATATAAATACAACAAGAAAAAAAATGTAACTCCGTTCAGGCATTTTCAACTTAAACTTTGTTAAATTATATGTCTATATGTTTCACAGGAAACCGCAAAAGCTAATCTTTACAACAACAAAAAAAATGTAAACTTTTTATATGGAATTACAGTAACAACAAAGCAGAACTAACTTACCCAATGATTATTTAAAAGACAAGAGTCGTCGTTCCATCGTAAATTATTCCAGACAATTTAATAAACACATCAAGTCTTAAATGCTTTTTCAATAGCTTCAGATTACATCGCAGGGTATTAATTTGGCCTATCTTATAGACCTACCGTTCAGCAATAATTGTATGTTGAAGCAAAACTGTAATATGCTACACGAAGACTTAACAACTCACAATTAAAATATATACTTAAATCGAATTAGCTGCTGATGTTTCTTGCATTAACCGTTTTGAGTAAATTCGAATGATTACCATAAATAATAAAACAAAATAGTAACCAATATAAATAACCACTTTTTTAAAATTGGTTTTGCAGACTTTGGTCATGGTTTTCATAATGTTTTTAATGGATTATAAAAACTTTAAACATAGAGGATGGAACTTAAATTATATCTGAACGTGAACCTGGACGATAAGTGAAGCATAAAATTATTTCCTGTGGAATTGATTGTGCAATCATTCCCACAACGAATGGTCATTTAAAGGACCACTTATAAAGCTTATAAGCCTTGGTTCTGTGTCCTGTGGTTTCTTTTAAACTTTTAACTCGTTCCAGTCAGTTACAAAAGGTTTCTCAGAAAAATTATTAATTTCTCAATGCGGTCTGGCTTGAACACATTTATTTTTAGCTTTTCGAAAATATTAAATATAAGAAAATAAAACGGGCTATATTTCTATATAAAATAAAACAAAGTCGGTTCAGAAATTTAATTAATGCGCGCCTTCATCAATATACAGAGTGACTTAAGAGAAAGGTTTATATGTATAATACAATACCAGTATATAAGAAAGAAAGCCAGTATATAATAATATAGATAAAATGTCGAAAATCGTCTTTCTTTTTTGGATCGATTAGGCAAAGTTTATCTCATATTATTTAATTTTCGACGTTTGACTAAGAACTCTTTAGTCAAAGGCTTAAACTAGAATTCATATCGAAGTTTGATCAACGGACTTGATCAGACCTAGATCAAATATCGACCTTTGACTATAACCTCTATTAAACAATATTTCCATTAATTATAAGTACAAAAATATTTCCCATAATTAATATAATTCAAAAACACTAATTCCAGTCTATTTTTTTTTTTATATTATATGATTGTTACAACTAATAGGTTCGTTATTGAACTCTAGTGGATATCTGCTAATCGTATCAAGCTCGTTTTTCTGTCATAGGAAAATTACACGTATACTTAATTAACATAGATATCTTGTTAACTGCTTCCTTATCTTGCGATTAGTTTAATTGTAGACTGAAAATCTTATTACTAAGCCATGTGTAAGTATTTTGCTGTTATAGGTATTTATCTAATGTGATTTTGTATTATATACTCTTTTAAAAGTTAAGTGTATAATTCAACATTTTAGAATGAATATCTTACTAAACTACAGTTACAATTAATTTTTAGTTACTGGTCTTTGTAGAATCTAAGAAAAAATAAGTTCATTCTGTAAAAGTACTCGGGTAGTTTCTTTTTTCAAATATTTTTTAGAAAGAAAAACTTTTGTTACTTGTAAACATATCCCATATCATTAAGTAAATATAGTTCTTCGATTTCCTTACCAAATGATGTTCAAGAAGCGAGTTGCCACTAGTGTCGTCGTCAATATTGAAATGCAGTCATTATCGTGGTGTGCATCTCGTTCGTTAGTCGCACGCGCGCTGGTCGCATAAAGCCAATATCTGTGTATGAACCAGCGCTCTAGGTATCGACTCGCAAAATTTATACTCCCCGTTATAAAGAAAGTCGCCTTTTTTAAATCGATGAAGCTTATGTTTAGTAATTATATTATTTATTAAGTTTTGTTGTGTGTTATTTAAATAAAATAATAATTAAATCTCCGTAAATTAAGTATTACAAATTTTAAACATTCAGAGCTCATTTTGAGTCAATTCAAATATTTTTAACATCCTTTTTAAGCCGATTAACAAAACAAACACTAATTATTGCGGTGTATGAAGTCATTTAATACCTATAATAATATAGCAATCGTGCCGAATCCATATCATACTTCAACTAAAATATTAACAAACGAAAGTAACCGTGACGCAATATGTTTCTTATTAACTCTCGCCAAATTCGGTACAGGTTGTGGTTAGCCGATAAGTCGAGCTAGTTTTTACTGACAATATGTCGCGGTTTATCGCCAGAAATATGTTGAGTGTGAATATAATTTGGGTGTTTATTCTAAAGATGTAAAATATTATAGGTTTTTTTGATTGCATTTTCAATAATTACAGGTGTAGGATTTAGCATACGCATATATTGTCTTTACGCCGCCCGGTCACAGAATATTGAACCCGGTATCGGCATTAGAGAGGCAATAGCAGGCCTTGTTGCGCCCATCTACCCTTTTTGTTTTGTTCGCAAATCTTAATAAAGACCCTATTATGCCTTCAAGCGGACATTCGGCTATGAATATAATAAATAACTTTAAGTGAATTTATTTTGTACTAAAGGAGTTTAAATAAATAATCTTTAATTAATGTCGAAGGAACTGTGTACAGTACCAAAACATTTCTCTTCATAAAAAGGTATTCAAAGAAAGTTTTAAATTATAAAGATCCAATTTTCTCCTCTTTGATGCTTTGACCGTTTTATTGTGCGGGAAAAGTTCGCTATCGGTACATATTTTGTCTTCTAAATATTTTATATTCTATATTTTACATTGTAAAAATTTAATAGTTCGAGAGTCATTATTTGAAAATAATTTTAAACTCTATTTCACTCAATTCCTGGCTACATCGTCATGTTTTCTTTTTACCTTTATGGATACTCTTCTTTACTTTAAGAACTGAATAATAATAACAGTTTCCAAGATTTATAACTTAACATAGGTCCTTTTATTAAAGAACGTGGATTAAATTCAGTACCCGTTTAAACCCGTTAAACCATAATCCAATCAAAATAAGTCAACACGTCTCAATTTGCCGTTTTCTTTTCTGTCATTGTTAATTTGCTTCAGTCTGTCAATGGTTTATACCATGTATTAACTTTAGTCCTTATTAATAAGACAGAAACTCTTCACAATTGCTCCACCTTTATGCAGGTTAGATAGTCATTACATACAAGGGGCCGGAGGAAAATTAATTTCATCTGTCAAAACGTCACACGCAGGGCCCACACAGAACTTTGTTAAATAACGCACTACCGTAGTGGGACTGAAAATTTATTTGCAATTCCCATTGAAATGGAATTATGTACGACATAATATTTCAAAAGGCATACAAAGTGTTGGCGTGGGATAATTTATTTGAGCGTAAAAAAATATATCTTCGTAAATAGTTCAGGCCTATGCTGTAGTGTAAGCTAAAAGAGGAATGCCTGTGGTCAACATAAATTGAATCCACAATGTACTATAGAGTGGTCATTACGTTGAAATGTTAGGGCACGTTCAGATCTATAGATTTTAGTGTTCTACTATAGCACTAATGAATTCGAATCTGTTGCCTGTCAAATAATCAAGATTCTATTTAGGTACAGATAATATGTATAATTTACCAATATATTTGTTTAAAATCTTAATAACATGCCATACTTATGCTTGTCTTTAAATTCGTAATTATATTAAAGCATAAAGACTTATTGTTTTAAGAATGATTTGTCTAAACTTTATAATATTTAAACATAACGCACATCCTAAGGCATAAATTAACAATTTTATATGGCAATGGTCAGCCGCTGTTGCAGCATACTCGCTTCGATGGCTCTGCTCGCTCTTTGTTTCGGGCACAGTAATAACCTAATCTCAACCATCGGTTCATTTATATCTAAGAAAAAAATAGCCTAAAATACAAATATGACCACATAATGTATTGTATGCGAAAAACCATTAAACCAAACGGTTATGCCAAAGTATATCAGAAATAAGACCATTATGCCAAAAGCCTTAACGGGGAGACTCTGTAGGTATTTAATATAATGCTTATCTTACATGACATTAATATAAAAGTTAGACTCAATAACAAAATTAATAAAATCTTTTAGTGATCATCTTTCATAAAGATTATTTAAGTAATAATCGTTGGA